ACTGTTTCAAAGGCAAGAGAGTTTTACATTTTTGTCCTGGGAACTTGCTCATCATCACCTCCACGGTCTAAAGTTCTTGATGTGAAAGAGGGAGAGCAGTTAGTTGAAGATGCTGTATCAATGAAAGTTGGAAAATCACAGGTTGAATTGTTACAGCAGTCTGCTGAGATAAAAGAACAGAGAATGACCCAAGCAGCTCATAGACGAAAAGAAAAGGAGCAACAGAAGAAGGAAATAAGAGAATCCACACAAGAATCTGTTTCTGAGCCTGTGGGAGGAGCAAGACCTAAGAGATCTTCGATGGCAGATCTTCGAGCAGTCTTCTCCAGGCTTGCAGCCGGAGGAGATGGCAAAGCTCCTGACCTGGAATGTTAATGGCCTTAATTCTCCACAGAAAAGAAAGAAAATACTTCATTATTTGAAGCAATATAATAATGATATTGTTTGTTTGCAGGAAAGTCATATTACTTTAAAGGATCAAAAATATTTGATTAATGCTCGATTGCGTTCACATTTTGTATCTTCTGCTCCTGGGAAAAAAGGGGGTGTTGTTATTTATGTTAAGAAAAATTTGTCAGCTAAATTAATAGACTCTGATTCTCAAGGAAGATATGTTATGATTGAAGTGGGATTGTATGGTAAGAAACCGCTTATAGTGGGTTTGTATGATCCTAATCAACAACAAAAACAGTTTTACAAGCTTTTACATCAAAAATTGACTTTATTGGATTATAAATCTGTTATTTCGATGGGGGATTGGAATGGAGTTTTGGATATACATAAAGACAAGAAAGGACTTTCTACTTTCTTCAAGCAAGCTAAATTACCTAAGGCTTTTTTTGATTTGAAAGATGACTTGGAATTGAGAGATATTTGGCAGGAACGTAATACGGAAGAGAGAGATTTTACATTTTTTTCTGATAGGCACCAATCGTTTTCAAGAATTGATTTTTTTTTATTACTACGGATTTATATTTTAGTGTTAAAAATGTAAAAATTTTCCCAAGGACATTGACTGATCATAGTCCTGTATGGTTGGAATTAATTGCTGAGAAGGAGGAGAGAAGATCCTGGAGGTTGAATGAAAATTTATTTAGATATGAGGTGAATGTACAGAAACTTAGAGAATATTTAAAGGATTTTTTTATTTTAAATATGTCCAAGGGAACTTCAGTGGCAATGGTTTGGGATGCCAGTAAGGCTTATATGCGTGGGGTTTTGATTCAAATAAATAATGTTTATAGGCGAAAACAAATGCAAAAACGTAAAGAATTGGAGGATGAGATTAAAATAAAAAAAGCATTAATTATGAATCCTTTGGATAAGAATGTAAAGGCTTCTATAAATTTGCTTAAAACACAATTTAATATGTTAATGGCTGATCAGGTTGCAACTAATTTACGTTATATGAAACATAACACATTTTGTAATGCAAATAAGCCGGGTAGGTGGTTGGCTTATCAATTAAGGAAGAAACAGAGGTTGAGAGCTATAGATAAAATAAATTATAATGGTAAAATGGTTTTTCAGAAAGAATTGATTAAAAAATCTTTTTTAGATTTTTACACAAAATTATATATGGGTCAGAAAGTACAGAGTTTGGATCTAGATAAATATTTACAAGATGCTCATTTTCCTAAATTAACAAATGATCAAAGAGATGAGATTAATGGATTGATTACTTCACAGGAAATTATTATGGCAATTAAGCAATTAAAAGTTGGTAAAGCACCTGGTACTGATGGATTGACATCAATTTATTATAAAACTTTGAGGAGATGATAGAGCCTTTAAAGGAACTTTTTAATAGTATATTATTGGGTTTAGAGATACTTCCATCTTAGAGAAGGGCGATTCCAAAAGAGAATCAAGATCTTACTCTACCTAAAAATTATAGACCTATATCTCTTTTGAATATAGATTATAAAATTTTTCAAAAATTTTAGCGAATAGACTTATGATTGTTTTGAACCAAGTGATACATACTGATCAAACAGGTTTTATAACTGGGAGATATATGAAGAATAATGTTAGACAAATCATTAACTTAATAGAATATTTGGATAAAAATAATCAGATTCCTGCAGGTTTGATTTTTTTAGATGCTGAGAAAGCTTTTGATCAGTTAAATTGGCAATTTATGTTAAGGTTGGTTGAAGAGATGAATTTTGGGGATAAAATTTTGCAAGCTCTTAGAGGTATTTATCAAAAACAATCAGCGCAACTTATAATTAATGGAGGTTTATCTGATGTTTTTCAAATCGGAAGGGTACAAGACAGGGATGTCCATTGTCCCCTTTGTTGTTTGTTTTAACATTAGAAATTTTGTTGATTAAAATTCGTGAATCATCTAAAATAAAGGGAATAATGATTAATAAGAAAGATTATAAATTAAGAGCTTTTGCTGATGATTTGGTTGTTACTTTGTCTCAACCAACCTATTCGGTATTGGAGTTGTTACAGATTATAAATCAGTATGGGCAAGTTTCTGGTTTTAAAGTCAATAATAATAAGACTAAAATATTATCTAAAAATATGACCAATTCGGACAAGGAGATCTTAGTTAATTTGACAGGTTTTGAAATTGTAAAAAAGGTTAAATACTTGGGGGTTTTATATAACTGCTTCTAATGTAAAACTGTATAAAAACAATTATGAAATGTTATGGCTTAAAATGCAGAAGGATTTGAATGATTGGAAAAAATTGCAGTTATCTTTGTTAGGGAGATTTGCTGCAGTTAAAATGAATGTTCTGCCAAAATTTCTTTTTTTGTTTCAAATGATACCTATCTTAAAGAAAGAGGTAAATTTAGAAGAATGGCAGAAGGGTATTAATAGATTCATTTGGGCTGGGAAAAAACCAAGAGTTAAGCTTAAAATTATACAAGATGTTCGAGAGAAAGGAGGACTCAAGGTGCCGAATTTGAAATTGTATTATGATGCAGTGGTTTTAACGCTGATTAGTGATTGGGTTAACTTAACAAATTCAAATATACTTTTTTGGGAGGATGGGATTTATTATTTGGATGGCATGCGTATTTCATTTATAATAAAAAGGTGGATAGGGTTTTTAAGTCCCATGTTTTAAGAATTGCTTTATTGCGTGTCTGGAAGAAATATTATAGATTAAATTTTAGAATACCGTTGTGGGGAATTCCTGGGCATGCAATAGAGGGGATAAGGAAAGGAGTGAAAATGGATAGGATTTCTTACAAACAATTGCTTAAGTGGGAAGGGAATAATTGGCAATTAAAATCTATGGAGGAATTAATGCAAGAAAATATTATTTATTTTTGGTTCCAGTATAGGCAATTATTAGAAAGATGGAGTATAGATCAAAAAGTGGGTTTTACTATGGAAGATGTGAATTTGAAACAAATTAAAGATCAAAGTCGAACTCATAAAAAGAGTTTATAATGCTCTAGTGGAATTGGATTCAGAAACAGAATTAGTTAAAGATTGTATGGTTAAATGAGCTCAAAATTTTGAAGACCCGATTTTATTAGATACATGGGAGGTAATTTGGGTGAGGAATGTTAAGTTCACCCAAGCTCAAAATTTACGAGAAAATTTTTATAAAATGTTTTATAGGTGGCACCTTGATCCACAAAAGATGTCTCGTATGTATCTGAATGTACAGCCCAAATGTTGGAGATGTGGTTGTTTGGATGCAACGTACTACCATATCTGGTGGTCATGTAGAAATATAAAGGCTTTTTGGATTAAGATTTGGTGGAACATTCAGAAGATTTTTAATAGAAGGATAAAATTTACACCACAATTATTTTTGTTAGGTATTATTGAAGATTGTGATGACAAAGAGATTATTTTAATGTTGAATTTTATCACGGTGGCTAGGTTATTGATTGGGCAACATTGGAAGAAAGATTCCTTGCCTACTATAGAAGAATGGTTTTTTAAAGTTTCTTACTTATCAGAAATGGCAAAAATTTCGGCTTATCTGAAAGACCATTCACAAGAGAGATATATCTCGGTGTGGAAAAGATGGGTAAATTTTGTACAGAATAAATATGGGATTAGAAAGTATTATTTAGCTTTTGAATAATTTATAGTTTAAAGTGGGTATTTTTCTTTTTTTATTATTATTATTTTATTGTTATGTTATGGTTGGACGTTGTTTCTATGTATTGGAATTAAAGTACTTTAAATTTTTTGGGATGTATGTATAGTTGATTGATGTTCATTTAACTTGTATGGTTTTTTTTGTTTTGTTTTGTGTTTTTAACCCTGTATTCAGCTCTGGGAAGGAGAGGGGAGGGTTATGGGGGTGGGAGGGGGGAAGGTATTTTATTGTAAAAAGTTCATAAATTTTTCAATTAAAAAAAAAAAAAAGAATGCAGCTCCTGGGAACTCAAGGATACAAACTGATAGTTTTGGCAGGCTAAGGAGCTGGGGACAGAGCCCGTGCTCCTGGCTAATTGGAGAATGTGATTTATGACTGCTTTGTAGGGGTGGGGCTTGCAATTTGTTACTTTGTATCTGGGGGAGGGAATCTAGTATTGGGTTTAACTATGTGGTGCCTATACTTTGTTTCCTGAATAAAATGTTCTTTAAGGAAGAATTCTTGCTTTGATATTTTTTAATGGGTTTCATCTATCGGAACCATAACAGCTCTATTTTTTAGTCAGTAACAGCTTGAACTTTGTCTTTGACTATCATGTGAATGACTAATTTTGAAGATGGATGTATGTTTAGTTTGATTGTACTGAAAGTTTTGCCTTTTTCATATTGAAATCTGGGTCAAACCAGATATGAATTCTGAGCAAAGCATACTGTGGGCACAGAAAGGTAGTGTTGGAACAACTGCCAAATATGAATATTTGTGAAGAAAACACTCGTTATCTTTTGTTGATTATTATTATTTTTTCTTTCTACTTACAGCTAAGAAATACATTGTATCTTAAGATAGTGCATTTTTTTTTCTCTCTCCTTCAAATGGAAAATGCATTTGATTTTAAATATCTACATATCTATTATAGATGTCACTCTTCCTCGCCTCAAGGCTTTTATTTCACAACTGTTGTCACGCTTACATATTGAAGCACTTCTCCATGGCAATATAACAAAACAGGTTGGTTTTGATGTGCTTTTAATGGATATTTATTACCATTTTCCCCCAAATCTTAGCTTTTGTTTTAATTTTAAATAATATCCTTATTGGTGTATTATGTGTGGTTCCTTAATGTTCAATATTGCAATATTAATAACAGTAAATTATTATATCAATAAATTGGAGGATAGTTATATAGTATTGGCACAAGGTACTATTTTGTAAAATGGACATTATATGTTTCATGCTGCGGATAGCTAATTTCAGTTATTTTTGTGTTGCATCTTACATATGCTTTCATCTTCTAGGGCAACTTGGATATGCAATAATTAGCTTTTCTAATATTTCTGCAAAATCCATTCATTTGGATTGATGCTTATTACATTTAATAGGATATATTCCCAAATAAACATACAATTGAGATGTGAGATGTTTCATCTCTTTTATATTAAAATTGTAACGTGAGACTATTAATCATTTCTCAGATTGATGCTTTATAATCTTAGCATGCATCTTCATTTTATTTTGTAATTTTTTTGTCACCTTGTTTCTCTTATATAGTAAATACTTTTGATTCTGAATTCGTTTAGCCATTTTGTTGTTAGCCTTTCTGCATGGTAAAATAAAAGTAATTTTTGTATTCATCTATTTGTATTACACTGTCCCATTCACACGAAGCAAACAGGATCCAGGCATGAGATTTAAGCATGCCAGCATCTTAGGGAAATGTTAATTCAAATAAATCTGCAAAGTGCTATGTGCACAAAACTGGGGGTAACAGAGTAGTATAAAATCATACAGCTCATGCAAATCAAGGAGGGTGAAGCAGGAATACATTGGCAGATTTATCATAAATGAAAAGGATGATAAAAGAACATTTTCATCTTAAATATTAAGAAACTAAGAATAGAATTTAAGCATGCAATGAATGTGTGTAAATGTTTTTAAGCTTTTTATATTTTAAATATAATGCAAATATATACAGGAATTCTCCCTTTCATTTCTGAATGCTGAGAAGCATTCATATATATGGTTTCAGCTTTCAGACTTAATATTTGCAAGGGAACATGTCCCTTCTCATTCCTAATTTTGTTGTTGCAGTCAAATCTGTTACCCTTCTACTGTTGTCACAGACAGATGAAGAATGATCATGCAATGAATAAAATCTGCAATGAATTTCTTCTTTTACAGGCTGCATTAGGAATTATGCAAATGGTTGAAGATACACTCATTGAGCATGCTCATACAAAACCTCTCCTTCCCAGCCAGTTAGTAAGATATAGGGAAGTACAGCTGCCTGATAGTAAGTGGTTTAATTTCTCAGCTATAAAGTGCTTCATTTCAATTTCATAGTGCATAAACTGTAGCTTGCAACAAAGGACAATTATGCCTTCAGCTATTTTTGGTTTTCAAAATGTATTTAATTTCAAGGTTGTAGTGCAAATATGTGAGAACACTATGATTTGCTTCCTTGAAAAAAAAACACCCTCAATCATGAGATTTATCTCTTTCACTGTGACATAAGAGAAGAATGATATTGGTACCATCCAGCTTACTTAAACTGATAGTGGTGTATACTGTAGTAGGGAGTCAGACTCATTTTGATGATGTGCAGATTGAAACTGCTATACACCTAGAGCTTCCTTGGCATTTGTTTGGAATGTTTATGCATCTGTTCAATCGATACTACTAAAAGTGCTATGGTTGTGTGCTTTTATTCCACACAGAAAATACAGGAGCATTTTTTATCTGGCACCTTTAGGTGTGTTTAGACCACTGATGCTAGAATTGCAATCAGTCTGTCTTTCCCTCTGGGAATTCTAAAACTGATTATATATTTAGAAGATGCCATATTGGGCTTGCATATTTATATTAAATAATATTATTTAGTGATGTACTTTACTAGTCTACACTAAATAGAATATAAGATTCTCCTTCAGTCTAAATTCCATTTGTTTTGCACACTCCTCATTTTTTCTTAGGAGGATGGTTCGTCTATCAGCAGAGGAATGAAGTTCATAATAATTGTGGGATAGAAGTATATTATCAAACAGATATGCAAAGCACTTCAGAGAATATGTTTTTGGAGCTCTTCTGTCAAATTATCTCAGAGCCTTGCTTTAATACTCTGCGCACTAAGGAACAATTAGGTGAGCTTTTGTTTATGTGTGTCTCTGTTAAGGTCACTATATATATTATTATAAGCTAATAATATAATTCTACCTATAGGACAACGGATGATTAAACAACAAATAATTGGTAATCAGCTATTTAGGGCTGTGTGGTTTATTTACTTAACTGATTTTGCTGCATTTGTGTAACACGGTAACACAAAACACTAAATAAAATGTGTTTGTGGTTGGTTTTCAATAAAACTGAAAGAAATGGTGTGAAGCAGATTCTTCTGCAATAGATGCCTTTTTAATCAGATTCTCATATTGCCAGATTCATAGTCTTGCAGTAGTTTACATTAAAAAAAATCAGTTCAATGTACAGTAAAATATCCGTGATAAACTAAAATTTATTTATATTCTGTCTTTATTATTTTTATAAACAACTCAAGGTGACAAACACACTCAGTATTCCTTCCTCCTCCTCCTATTTTTCCCCATAGCAACAATCGTGAGGTGGGTCAGACTAAGAGAGAATGACTGGCCCAAAGACACCCAGCTGGCTTTCATGCATAGGACAAGACTAGAACTCACAATCTCCTGGCTTCGAAATAAAAATAAAACATACTAAAAGCATAATAATTGAACCTCAAATGATCTCTGGAAAAATTACAACTTTATCTTAACTAGAAGGCAACCAATTTGGATCGAAACAAATCTTTAGGGGCAACTTCACTACAAACTAGGCAATGCCATTGAGAAGCTCTCATTCAAACCAAGACTTATCACTTATGTCATATTTAATATCAATATAACAGACTAACTAAATTTGAAGAATATTACAGTATATAACTTCAAAAGAGGGCTACACATGGAGGGGAGATGAACATTTTCAGCAACGTAGAAAAACAGACCTCAAATCCTGCAGGTCTGAGCTCCGTTCCTGCAGCCTTCCAGAGCAGTTTCCTTCCACACATGGTAGGGAGCGGAACTCAGCAGGCAGCTCTTTTGCCCTGTTTGCTTAATGACCAAGGAGATCACTTAATGACTGCCACCAGAAGTGCTGTGTTTGCGGTGGTTGAGTAAAGCAGTCCTATGGGTGTCTTGCTTAACAACTGCTTCTCTCAGTGATCAAAATTCCAGTCCTTGTGGTGCAGTGGTTCTCCTCATTAATAGAGAGTCTTTAATGTAGTACCAAACATTAATTGCTTGAAATTACACAAATACTGGTTGTATCTAGTGGACAATCTTACCTGGCAAGGTGGGATGCAATGTGAAAGGTATGGAGGTTGGATCTTTCTCAAAAAATTAAACTGTATATAAGAAATCAGTAACTTGAATTACAAAAAGGTGTTTGTGGAAATACTTTATTTATTATTAGATTTTTTTTATCCTGCCTTTATTACTTTGTGAGCGAGTCAATGGAACAAACATACAAAATACTCCTTCCTCCTCCTATTTTCCTTCCACATTATTTAATTTTTTTTAACATCAATTATAAGTCAGAAGATCCTCCTACTATCAATGGTTATTCTGGAAAACAATCTAGAAGTGCCATGTTGTTTTGCCTCCACACTTCTGCAATAAATTTAGCTTGTCACAGTCAAGCCACAGCTGATACTGAGGCTGTGTGCTTCATTTTAAAAAACACTCTTACCAATAATTATAGAATAAATTTTAAAATTATCAGTTGAGCTTACATATGTGCAATCTCCTATGTTGCCATCTCACTGGAAGTCCAGTTAACAATTTGATTTTAGTAATTGTTTTAGGAAGTTATGCTAAAATTCAATGTTAAATTAAATTTTCAAGAAAAGAAATTAAAGCCATTTTTTCTTTTGAAAAAAAAAAATGGTAAGAGAATATAATTGCTGATATGCTGATTTCCCCCTCACCCCCAACCCCAGGTTACATTGTGTTCAGTGGTCCACGGAGGGCGAATGGTGTTCAAGGTCTGCGGTTCATCATCCAATCAGAAAAGCCCCCACATTACTTAGAGAGCAGAGTGGAAGCCTTTTTAAAAACTATGGAGAAATCTCTAGAAGATATGTCTGAAGAAGCTTTCCACAAACATATCCAAGCTTTAGCAATTCGCCGCCTTGACAAACCAAAGAAACTATCTGCTGAGTGTGCAAAATATTGGGATGAAATCATTTCCCAGCAATATAACTTCGATAGAGGTAAGAAAAAAAAAAAGCTTGCCATGAGCCAATTGGAAACAAGAATATTTGAGATCAACTGAAATCCCATCTTCCTTGCATTATACTTTTAAAATTAGTAACAGTCTCAACACTGGAATATTGCCTATTGGCATTTATAGACCATTTTACCCTCTGAATGTTTTGTACAATTCTGAATTATTACAGAAATCATGCAAGAGAGGATGGTAAGACTATTTAGCGGGCTAGAGCTTCTATACTACAACTGGGGCCTTTTTAGTATGGAATGCAGGATAAAGAGAAGATGTAGGATGTAGATAATATGGATAGACTGAAATATTACCAATGGAATACTTGTAGCTCAGGGCTTAAGTATGGAGTCCTTGGTGCTCTCTGAGTTTAGTGGTTTAGATGTTTCGTGTTCGTTAGGTAACATCATAAGTGCTAGCTAGACTGAAGTGTTAAAATGCAAGGTTATCCATTTAAAACATTAAATTCTCTGCCAGCAATTATGGCAATGGGAGCCAAATTGGATGATTCTAAAAGATTTGTTAGCCATGGCTATGTATTGCACACATCAAATTTGCATATTTTGCGCATATTAAATTTATTAATTTTATTGTCCAGATAACATTGAAGTGGGATATCTCAAAACTCTTACTAAGGATGATATAGTGCAGTTTTATAAGGTAAGTTAATCCAGGTTCTGGTTAAATTATTATTAAAAGACATATTTGTAATATTAAGAATGTGTTTGACAGTTTTATAAAGATTGTTGTAATTTAAGATCATATGGATGAATTACTAAAATATTGGCAAGCAAATTCTTCTATATACTCCACATAACTATAGCATATTAACAGTTACTTCATTGAGTCTCATCATTATATAAAGGAAACATGCAATATAAAATGGCTTGTAAACAGATATACATAAAACTTCCAATACCAAACAATTCCACACTCGTAGTGATCCAATTATGGCCATTCAAATGTTCATAGATAAGTTAATAGATAAGGTTCTTAATAAATGCTTTAAGTACTACTTCTTCCAAGAGCTTTAGCAACCTAGGAAGATTCTAGTAAAAGGTCAACTATTCAGCAAAGAAATCAATATTGGATGACATAATATGTTGGTATATTCAGAATGCATTTTCTAAAGAATGATTTGACAGAATGATTTGATTTGAAGATGACATGGAAATTATTTTTGCTTTGCTTGTTCGTTTTTGTGATTTGCAGAGATTGCTATAGTATCTATCCTGTGAAAATAAAAATAATAGTTATCAATGTGATAATTAATTGTAGGTTAATGTTCTAAGAATCTTTTTGTAGACCATTGTTATTCAGTTGTGTTACTGGACCTCTGGCTATGTAATTTATAGAGGGGTTGCTGTTAATAGGAGCTTACTATTTCAATTACTATATTCCATATTTCTAATCTAAGTACATAGTTAACACTTCGGGAGTCTCCCCATTACCTTTTTCCTTAACATATTCAATAAACATTTATTAATATCATTTCTTCTTTTTTCTTATTCTTCTTCCATTACAAAGTGACTGTCAGTTCTAATATAAAAAAAAATAGTTCTTATCAGAAAAGAAAAAGAACAAAGAAGAAAAAACAAAGACAAAACAAAAAAAGAGAAAAAACACCTTTATATTTCTATTATACTTTATAATCTAACAATCAATCCCTCAATATCTGTATCACATTTGTTTAACTTCTTCCACAGTTACAATATCCAAAACATATTAATATATAGACAAACATCTTATTATTAAGTTCAGACCTTTAATTAATTTTTATTCAATTTAACATCTTATTTAACTGTCTTAAGCCATAAATCAATCCATATCTAGTAAGCCTTTCAAACCCATTACATAAAACCTTAAGTCACACTCTTAAATCTTATTCTAGCTTTCCTTTTATGCCAAACAGGTTTCCATAACAATGCCACTATATCAATAAACAAGTCATTTTTTATGTCTTGTAGTATCCTTTGAATCAAACAGAGATGTCCTCTTTTCTGTTTTAGAGACCTAGCTCCTTTGTAAATAATCCCTTGTTGTTTGGAAAAGTCAAATCTCCACGTTTGAAAATGTTGAATGGCCAGCTCAGTTATGTCCAACGTTATAGCTAATAGTTGCTTATCCAAGCTACCATAGTTCTCAGTTTGTTGGGCTTGTCTGTCCATTTCTGTTAGTTTTAGGGTTGTAAGTGGTTTAATTGCAGTCCTTTTTAATTCTTTGGAGATCTCATCAGCATGCATATGAAGTAGAATGGAATCTTCTTTACCTTTAGTTAATCCTGCTTCTGTTGTTTCTTGGTCTATAGAGTGCTCAGACAAAGTCTGGGAGTCAATTTGTAAATTCAAAGCAGAATTTCTGTTTTTTATTTCCATCGTAAATTCTTTTATTTGCCAATGTATTTCATCAGTAGCTTCATAAAGTTTTTCCAGTATAAGTTTATAGCCAAGTTGAACCAAGAGTTGCTCCATTTCAAAAATAATTAAAAACAGTCTGTATCATTTAGTAGAGGCTGTGTTCAGGGAACATTTAATCAGTGTCCACCCCCACCAGTACAGCTGTTAAATTTCTTTATATTTTTCCTTTTATGGTAATCTGAAAGTCAAGGTCAGTCTAATCCTCAGAAAAAAAAGAAAGTTGCAATTTTAACTTTTTCCACAAGGTGTCCTCAGTACAATGTAAAATCTTCTCCCAGAGACCAGGAATCTCATAAACAAGATCAGGAAATACAGGAAAAAGAAGAATTCAAATCGCAGATTCAATATTCACAAAATTTTCCAAGACCCCAAAGTGAAAGGGAAAAAAATAAAAATAGAAAAAAAATCACTTTAAATTAATTCAGTCCATTTAAGCTTCTTTTTCCCCACACTCACAAACGCCGCTTTCTTAGAGTAAGGAAATCATTTCAAAAGTGCTCTTTACAGGCACAAAAGAAAAAAGAAACCCAAGAGAGGGAGAAAAAAAAGTCTCACCTGGCTTAGCCACGGTGGTTCCTGTGCTTAGATGTTCTTCTGACTTCTGGTTACAGTGGCAAGGTGAACGGCCATTTTACTGGCCATTCTTTCCACCGTCGACCCAAAGGAGCAATCTTGGTCCGTGGAAGAAGCTGCCGCTCTCCCACGGATGACGAGGACCCTCCTCAGTGGTAGCCGCCCCTCCAAGGCAGCTTTTCGACCCGATTAAGGGCCTACCAGCAATGGAGAATCAGCTGGCGAGGAGAGCAGTCTCCTCATGTAGCTGTGAGCGCTGCAATCCGGAACCGGAAGTCGTTTTAAGTCTAAAATTTTAATGTTCTATATTAGTATTATACTGCTTTAATTGTATTTAGTCATTGTTTCTTTTTCTTTTTTACCTGGCTGGTCATATAGGTAAATAAATTTGATTTGATTTGATTTGATTTAGCATTAATATTTCTCGAAAATCCTCTGCTGTAAGGTGCAGTTTGTTTAGCTCTGGAAAATTTGCATGACTTCTTCCCATTGCAAAGATGGAAAGTTCTTATTGGAATAATTACCTCTGATTTATTTACATGTAGGAAATGTTGGCAGTAGATGCCCAAAGAAGGCACAAAATATCGGTCCATGTACTAGCAAGGGAAATGAATTCCTGTAAGTACCAAATGCACGTATTTCCTCACAAATAACCTTGGGTAATCAAATTCCAGACTTTTATAATCAAATTCCAAACTGAATTTCTACAAAGGCAGAGCTGGAAACTGCATGTTCAAGTTGGGCCATAAAGATGGTTGTACTGCAGAGCAAACACACTGTCCTGTGACCTTTGGTGGATGAATAGAAATATATTCATTAAGTTACATGAGTGACACTTAAATTATAAATATAATATTGAAGCACCCAAATGCATTAAAATACACCACTTACTACCCATTTATGTACATGGAAATAATTATAAGATAAAAGTAGAAGCCATATTTTGTAGAATTGGTACTGCCCAAGTTAGATCAGCTGTGACCTGTTGTAGCTAAGTCTGTTGTTATTAGTGGTGAACGCTATGGAGTGCACGACTTTCTGTAGAGGTCAGGATAGGAAACACCAGTGATTTGACAGTACTATTGCAAAGTGCTCATGGTAAGATGTGAAAATACATTATCATGAATGCCCTGGGCATAGCATTTTTGTGAACTGTGAGTTGCTGGCTGGAAACAGTTTTCTTGAAGTTTCCAGCTCCACATTTGTAGAAATTCAGCTTGGAATTTGATTACAAAATCCTTTTTTTAAGTTTTGCCACAGTCTGCTCATAATTCAAAACTAGAAACAGCTGAGGGAAAATCCAAGTACTGTTTTGTCAACAGTATCCTGTTAACCATAGGTTTAGTAGTAAAAGACTTGTGGTAAAAAAAATGTAACTATAACCAATAATTGACAATACTTATCCACACTCTAATGTCTACCTTATTCACTCCTACAGTACTTCTATATGGAGTGCCGTATTAGGAGTACACTAAGAATCTGAAACAGCTTCCTTAGACATTTGGATTGAACCACCTCAAATTTAGCAAAAGTGATGCATGGCATTAGCTGTAGAGGAGTTAAGCCTTGGCTCCAAATAATATTAGAACTGCTGTATTCTACATCTATGAAATAGAAGATAAATTTGGGGGCAATTTTAATGCTGCATGAGTATTAAGAACTTCCTATAAACTAGAAGACAACACCGAACTATTTGAAGCAGTTCAGGACTTGCTCAATGCCCTTTAATATTTATGGCTATTTGGACATGTAACAATTATTTTATATATAATGCATATATATAAAACATATTATTTGTATAATCATATGACATAATTGCAATACTTTTATCAACTAATTTTAGAAGATGCTATTTCTCCTTAGCTAGATATATAATTGTTGAATAAATGGAACAGTAATGCAGCCTTGTTTGTCCCCTTTTGAAAGATGTTCTGCTATATTACACATTGCCCTCAGACACTTGCACATAAGTTTAAGCAGGCAACCACCCTTGGTGGCTGTTATTTTGACAAAAATCTGCAAATTTCCAAGCAGTAGAAGGAAGCAATGCATATCTTTTTAGTATATGTTATGGAGTTTTTTTATTAGTCTTTAAAATATTTTATTATTATTATTGAATAGGTCCTGTTGTAGGAGAGTTTCCAAGCCAAAATGATATAAGTCTAACACCAGCACCACCATTGCCACAGGTAAAAAAAAAAAAAGATATTTTCATAACTATTTCTAAAAGAGCAATGCCCAAAATGCCATCTAAATAGTGTTTGAATTATTAAATAGTTGCATTTATCTGAAATACTAATAAGTTAATGATTAAGATTTTGCAATGCAGACTTCAACAATATATGAAACAGGAATTATGAGATGTAAAGTTGGGTTCAAAGGAAATAGGGCACCCAAGATGATATAATTCATCACCAGAGGATTGTGGAAAAGGCAAGAGAATTCCAAAAGAACACCTGTTTTTACTTGATGGATCATATAGAGCAGGGATGTCAAATTGCCGGCCCACAGACCGGACATGTCATGATGAAACCGCGCCCACACCATTGCTGGCAATGGGGAAAAAGCTCTGATACATTGCGTGACGTTACGTGATGTTGTGAGTTTGACATGTCTGATATAGAGGCTTTTGATTACATAGACTACCACAAAGTGCACCATGCCAAGTACCTACAGAAGACTATTTATGACGACTAAAAGAAGCAGTTAGAATTTTGAGCCCCCCAAAGATTCAATAAAACCATTTCACTTGGGCAGGCAAGAATCATTGCAGAGAATCATAGAAAAATGGAAATAATAAAAAAGAGGATGATAGAAAACAAGTTGATTAAATGATATCACTAATCAACAGAAGCATAAACTTACAAGAACCACAAGAAGCAGTTCCTGCCAGATAATCTTGGCAAAAGGTTGATCAGGTAGAAGGAACTAAAAAACAAGCACAGCAAAACAACCTATTTGCACTGATTAGGTAACTAATATATGGCAGTTCAGTGAGTTTAACACACAAGCATTAAATTGAGCACTTGTTCACATTTTAGCCTGTCTAAAATCCCTTTTTAGACAGGCTAAACATTTGCTTGTTTATTCATTTAAAGGCTGGTAGTCTTCTTAGTTCACCCTTCTAAACTGTCAGCAATTTTTCCTGAGCTGATTTCCTGGTTGACTCAAATCCATCATTTGGCAGCAATGTTGCACATTTTACATAAAGCTTGATTTCACTCATATTGACATGTAGAGTATATTTGTCTGCAGATTAGCTTACTGTATTGAACTTTATACAATAGAATATACAAACCTATTTTAGAAGGATTGAGTCCAAGTCTGATTTCTGGGTTTGTTTTTTTAATAACCTTTGCAGTTAAAACCTGTGGCTTTTTCAGCTTTCAGTGATACTACCTGTCTTGTATAGCATATCAGTATGAGCATGCTTGGTTCTCAATGGCTATCTTTCTAAAATGCTTTGTTTACAGCCAGTTGTGATTGAAAACATGACTGAGTTCAAACGCAGCCTACCACTTTTTCCTCTGGTGAAACCTCATATCAATTTCATGGCCGCAAAACTGTGAAGAATCTTGCTGGATGAAGAACTGGAAGGGGATTAATATGCCTTCGGTGGCTTTTCATAATGAACAAAGATCTTAATCTTTAGGACAAGTGATCCAGGATTCCTGATTCCTTCTAGGTTCATCCAGCATCAGTGCTGCAATAGGGATACAGCAAGTTAAGCAAGTATGCTGTAGTCATGTGTTATGTTTGTCATAGAGCCACTACCAGAAACTAAAATTAAGTGGTATATATGAAGATCTGTGTAGGTAAATGGTATATTTTAAAATAATGTGGCCCTTTAATAGTTTAGTTTGCATGGATTGTGAAGAAGTTTCTATACCAGTCTGATCTTTGCTTGCAAATTATTGCTTTTTTTTAAGATCAACTGTTTTGGAAGCATATTTTGTTGAACAAGAAAGAAAATATTATTAAAAGGCCATATTGATGTTTTTAAAGGAAGCATGGAGTGATAACTTTTTTTAAAAAAATAGATTCTTGGAAGCAGCCATTTAGATTCTATGTAAAAATCAGTGGAAAGGGGAGGAAAAAAATTACAAATATCTTTAAAGAGTTATTGGAAAAGTCAAAATAGTTTTAATCTTTATACCTGTTTGAGGACATTTTATATACAGACTAATAAAATGCTGGAAACACTTGGGTAGCCATGTTTTTCTTGCCAAGAGTGTTACTTTATAACCTTTGTATTTTCTTAGGGTTGCACTGATCTCTTACCATTCTTTGACTTATAAATAAAATTACTTTGGCAATTTTTTTTCTTCCAGTTGTCATGTACTGTTTTAGGACAGATCTAATAGGATCTGGGTGTACTGTATCTTTTTAAAAGGCCATCAATAATTATTGGTAGTTATTTAAACCGTAGACAAACACTCCTTTATCAGAAACTCACAATTTAATATTTGCCTGGATCCCCTGCATACTGTGTGAAGGTCGAGTGTGATCACCTAGCATGATCAGCCTTATACACACTCAGTCTGCACCTTTCTCAGTTCACTAAAGCTTGTTGCAGATTCTCATACCACACAGAGATCTTTCTAGGAATAGAAAGTGGGAACTAATATATTTATAGAGTTCATGCACATCGGCAGTAACTATCAGTCTAATGATGCAGAAGTTGAACTTTCCTTGATCATTTGTCTGCTCAAAAGCTCTCAGTATTTTAAATGCATCCTGAATTCTTAGGCTGCATCACTTTTATGTGGCACTTCAAGCATCTGAAATGCAGTCCAAGTAGTTTTTGATTTACGACCGATTGCTTAGGGACCATTCAAAGTTACAATGACCTGAGAGAGAGAACTTCAAATTTGAAGTTCTGACAGTCAGACCCCCTTCGCAGTCATGTGACTGAACAGCTGTTCAGCAACATGCTACCATTTGCAGAGTTTGCAGAGTCTGCCCATAGTGAACTGTGGTTTGCTTAATGACCACAGCCTTCTCTTTACTGCCGTAAAAGGGTAAAATTGGGCCTGTGATCTATTTTACAACTGTCACAACAAACGACTGTAATGGACAGGCTCCATTACGGTCGTTTGTCAGAGACTACCTGTAATAGCACTATATGATTTGCTTTTTATGATTCAGAAAAGCAATCATTTGCCAGTTGATTTTAAGAAAGAAAGGGGAGATAATTGTGCAAAATAAACTGGAATCAAGTATAAATGAAGTTAATATTTTAATTGTAAAACTAAAAAAAAAAGCTTTTGAACGGTTATGCGCTCAAAAGCACATAGAGTAAAACCAGGTGCTAATTTGAGGCTGGAGCTGGAAAGTGAAGAGGCATTTGTATTTCCAATGGCAATGTTATTTCAGTTCATAGTAAGTTTCCAAGTTCATTCTCTGATTTTAGTATTAAGTGGTTAGACATGAGGACCTTACACTCAAATATTAACAGCTTTAAAAGATGAGTCTAGAATGTGTTTATTGGGGTTACACCACTTATATATTTTTGTTATGATTAATTCAAGTGATGCCTTGTTTATTGTAAAATTATGTTACATATTCTGGAAGAAACAAGCTATAGAACAGTTTACATTAATGTATAAAAATAACTAAAGAGAGAACATAGAATTAAATGAAGTGCTATATAATTATATTTCACCTTGATGATTTAATTTAAAGAACGACAGCATATTCTTATGTCATATACTTGAGTAATTGAAAGGTACTCTTTCATGCTTCAGAGATTCATTATTTTGTTACTCAAGAAGATGTACTTTTCAACTAGTAGACAAAATAGGAGCATTTTAACCATGAGCTATAAAGATTCTTCTTTATTGGTACAAGATAAGAGCATTGTCGCTTAACATCAAAACAAACTATAAACTAATCTGATGACATCAGTCAGATGCTCCCTTCCCACTGTAACAAATGGCAGTTTGTTGGGGCTACATAGAAGGTTTTGCAGTGTTTTGAAGTCCATTAGCAAGAGCTCATTTGGAATGTGAACACAATGTTGTTTGCTACTTATTAGAAGAAGAGTATCTACACAATCATAGCCTTCAAGATGCATGTCATCTTGTGGAACCCCCTTTAAATCTGTAGAAGAATTGTTTCAGTTATCCAGTAAACAATGCTTAAAATAATTTTATCAAATTATTTGTATTCACAAAGCATGAAATACATGCAACAACATTTATGACAAAATCTGTATAAAGATTTCTCTTTATATACTTTTCTTCCAAATTTAATACCTTTGGATGTGTTTACATTGCAGTATAATTCTTAGGAGTCCCAGATAGTTTGATAATACTTAGTGAAAATTCTGACAATTGTAATCCTATCACATCTTGAGAGTGCTAGATGGTAGGAGGCTGTCCTAGAATGACAATACAAATCTGCACAACTTACTTGTTAGTGGGGCTAGTTCTAGTCACATTTTAAGACAAGGATCTGCAATTTACTACCCTATTGAGTTCTATATTCTATACCTTGGGTGTCAAACTCGCCACGTCACGTGACATGTGACATATCGTGACTCTTTTTGCATTGCAGGCAATGGGGTGGGCATGGCTTCGGTATGATGAAACCGGCCCGCGAGCTGGCAGTTTGACACCCCTGTTCTATACTGACATAGTTCAGATATTCACTCAATAACACCACTTAGGAAGACCATCAGCCAGCTACATTAGGAGGTACAGCATATCTCTCGCACATTCTTGTAAGTTCTACTAGAAGCCTTCACTCTCCGCAAGGAAGACTCTTCAGACATCATCCCAGGTCAATGTCTAAAAGATGTTTGAGTTCCAAGTTGTTTTTTTAAGGTTCAAAGCCAGTATTCCAGAATCTGATCCTTTTAGACTATTTGTGTACCATTTTTTCCAGGCCAAAGACCACACTTGGTCCTCAAGCAAGAGCTATATTTCAAACATCAGTGAGCATTTTTTAAAAATGTGATTTCTATTTCAATAAAATTAAAAGCAATAAAATGGGATAAAGATCAAATAAATACAATTACTAAGATGACTACAGGGTGCAGGTGGCTAAAATGGAAGAAATGGGGGGAGTCAGAAACAGTCCCTTATCTTACTGAGGCTCAGGGCTGGAAGCAAGCAAGCACAGAATGGCTTGGACAGATGGGAATGGCCAGGATTGCAGTTGCTAAGCGATGCTGTCATGTGATCTCTCACCTTGCAACTGCATCACTTAGTGACCAATATTCTGGTCCCAATTACTGTCATATGTTGGGGATTACTTGTAATTACCTACACCTCTCATCTCCACATATGTCTAACAAAGTTCTTTCTTGTTGCCCAATATCCCATTACTAATGCTTTATCTATTTGTCAAATTAGTTAAAATCATATGTACTATATGAGGGTTTTTTTTTTAAAGATAGAAACTCGTACAAGTAGTCCTTAACTTATGACCACAATTGGGGCCAAAATTTTCATTGCTAAACAAGATAGTTGTTAAGTGAGTTTTGTCCCAGTTTATGGCCTTTCTTGCCACAGTTGTTAAATCAAGGACTACCTGTACTATAAATTTAAAATAGATGTGGGAGGGATATTTAAGCTTGCAAAGAGGTTAAGAACTGTCAATTATTTCTGCAAAGAAAATAAGATTTTGGAATAGTGAGTAATTCCTAATGTATCTCGACTATTTTAAAACACTGTAGTTATTACTTCCATAGTCATACAAGTTACTCTCTTTATACCAGATGCTGCAAACATGAAAAAAGTATAAAAATTAATATAATATGGGTTGTATCCAAGTTAATTATAGATGATGATCATTATCACAACACTAAATATCAGGGTTGAAGTTATAACATGGACAAAACATCATTTTCTGACATAACATTGGCAGAATATGTGCCAGTTTTCAGGCTGAATCTTACATTTAGAACTACTCAATTTGGAATCTTGGGCAGGAATGCCTGAGAGATTGATCCATAAATGCAAAGGGAGGGTCAGTGGACATACAAAGGTTGACTGGTTTGTCCCTCAGCAGCCACCGTTTCTGCCTGATTTTAAAGTTCCCCCTTTACATTTTTAAATTTTTCCCCCTTTAATTTTGCAGGAAGCTATCAATCGAGGGATACTCAAAAGCAGACTGTGTCACTTGGATCTATATTGATTTATTGGATTTTTACTCAATTATAGAACAGGAATATGCCCCCTTCAAAACATTACTAAACTCTGTTTCCTTTATCCCTCATCTTTGATCCTACAGTATGTTTCTGAGAATTATAGTTTACTTACATCTGGAAAGCCACAGGGAGCGAGTTCTAGACAAAGGTATAATAAAATAGCATTGGTGGGATGAGGGCTACATTAAAAGATAATGAACTTGGTATGCCCATGTAGTAGGAATAAATCATATTCACTAGTAGGTATTTTAAGTGTTCTCCAGCATTTTATAGTTTGCATTTGGTAAAACAATGCAGTTTGATAACTCAGGCATTCAGTGGATTCTCTCTTGTAGATCCAAAGCTGCAGTGTCGACAAGCAATAACAAATTACTTAGTTATACTGTTAATCAGTTCTAGTGCTCATTAACAAAATGTATGTAATCATAAATAATGACTTAATAACTGTAATTTTTGCAAGTGCTGTTTTAAAAACTTGATTTAGAATCCGGGTGCATGTTTGACACAGTATGGCGGAGTGTTTGTCATACTCTTAATAATAAACAACCTGAATACCTTGTCTGGATTTCTTAGATGGTTTCGATTTAATGTAGTTTTCAGTCTGATTTGTTGAACTGAGGAGGCCATTTTAGGAATACAGGAGATGTTGCTAAGGTTTTTTCTAATTATGGCAGCTTTAAATAATAATACCTTAACAATTGCTATTGGCTGCTTTCCAAAACATATATTTTAGGAACAATTTTTGACTGGGCTCACACTATACATATATCAAAGGAAGTCGTTAATCCTTTTATTCCAGTTATTTTAAAAAAATAAATATGCATTCCTTTTTTTGGAGCTGAATTTTGTCAAAGCAAACAAATGTTTGGATTAAACAAAATAACATCATGATCCCCAGGTAAAGGCATATATGCCCATGCAAATACAGGTAGTCCTTGATTTGGGACCACAATTGAGCTTCAAAATTTCTGTTACTAAGCAAAAGTTTAAATGAGTTTTGCCTCATTTTATGACCTTTCTTGCCTCAGTTGTTAAGTGAATCACTGCAGTTAAGTTAATAACATGGTTGTTAAGTCTATCCAGCTTGCCTATTGACTTTGCTTGTCAGGAGGTTGCAAAAGGTGATCACATGACCCCGGAACACTGTAACTATCATAAATAATGCCAGTGTCCAAGCGTCCAGATGTTGATCAGGTGATCTTGGAGATGCTGTAATAGTTGTATGAAAAATAGTCACTTTTTTTAGTGACTTTGTAACTTCGAACAGTCACTAAACAAATGGTTTAAGTCAAGGACTACCTGTAAACCAAATGTTGCAGTCAAAAGGGGAATATGAACTGCAATTTGATGTGTCAGAGTTTTTTTCATTTTATTTGGAAGGAATGACTGTATGCAAAGCCCTCCTGGCCATGGTTTTTTGAGCAGGAGCCAACAGTCCAAAAGGAGACCGAAATTTCACCTGACTTCTATCTGAAGGATGCTAACCCCCCCCCCGCCAACACCTTCAGAACCCCTCTACCTTGATCCTCTTCACTTCTCACTCTCTGTCTTCTTAAATCTTCCATCTGATTGAAATGCTGTCAGTATGATTAAGGGGCTGGTTTTTCAAAACAAGGCAATAAAATGAAGATTGTCACTGTTGGTATTTGAACGCTTTACAACTTGACCTAAATAAATGACTAACAATCATTCTTTCCAGGTAAGTGAGCCTCTATAAAATAACATATTATAAATTGTCTTTTCCTAAACTAGTAGGAATTCTGAATGCTCTTGTCTCAATTCACCTGAAGGGGCTAAAGTTTCCATAATAATCTTAATTTCACTGAGTGTCAGAAGGGTATCATATATGTACTCGTCTGTCTGTGCAAATCTCAAAATGCAGTAACAAGATGCTGAAAGAGGGACAAGCTACATACCGTATTGGAGAAATGTGGAGAGAGGTATTGAAATATCTCCTTTCTCCTCACCATTCTTTGACTTCCCTGCATTTTCTGAGGCTGCAAAAAGTGGAGTTTGTCAGTTGGCTAGCTGACAACTTGGGCTCTGGCTAAGGTGGATATTACTCAAAATGGCTTCTGCAGATTAATAAACCTTATGTAGGATTAGTGTCATACTTAAATAGCTTGAATATAGCTCAGGTTTCTTGTATTAAATTGTACTTGATTATCAATCATCAGGCTTGCTATTTTTAATTAAACTAGAAATGCCCAAAGCCCATCTTAATGATGACATCATGTGTGACACACACCACAAGCAACAAACGAATGCTACATATTTAGTTAAATTCTAGCTGGTTTCTAACCTGGCTTTAAATTTGTGATTTATTAATTTATTTTTGGCACTCCATTATTACCGGGGTTATAAAAGTACTAGAAAATAAAATAGGCCTTGGCAGAAAAAGCCTTCATTTTATTATTGAAAAGTAGCATTGTTTTGGGGAAAATACCAGCATTCTGGAGATTAGGAGAAAGTTGCCCACTTAAGACTGATTTTTAGGCAAAATTATACAAGTGGATTATGTGATTTATTTAACTAATAAAATTATTCTTCAGGAATTGTTTATAAGAAATATTCATTGCTATATTCCTGCTGTGAATTGGATGAAATTATCTCCCTTACCCAAACTGGTATAATCACTGGTCAGGAAGTAGGAGAATTATATTCCAAAATACCTGGTGGCCATTTGTTTGCCTATTCCTGGTATAGGAGAAGGTGCAGCTACTCATAGCTCCCAAGATGATGTTGGACTCCAGTTTTCATCACTCACAGCCAATGGTCAGTAATTTGGGGAATTGGGCTGATAATCTCAGGAAGGCTAAAATTCCTTAGCCTTGCAAAGACAAAGTAGATTACACTTGTAAATGTAGTTGACCATTAAGCAAAATGTCGTCTCTGAAATAAGTTTGTACTTTCAGCAAATAATGTACCAAAATGCTGTGAAGATCTTGATTGAAATAATAGTCTTATTTTATATCTATTACCAGCTTATTATGGAAAAAAATGAAAAGCTAATGTTTGAATAAAATCAATTCTATTGATTATCTCTAAATATCACACCAAGTATCAAAGAGATGGTATTGTTTAATAGATTAGCATATATAAATAATTCCCATGAACAATTATAATACTTCCTGAGGCTATTATTAAAAATAAAAACCATCATATCTGAAAATGTTTTGCAATTTGCACATGACATGGGTCGCGGACAAATCTACATGGTTATATGGCAGTAAATATTCTATTGAGTTATATCTCAACTTTTTCAAGGGCACCAAGGCAGCATATGTGATACTCCCTCCTACTATTTCTTATAATATTAACCGTCTGAGATAGCTTAGACCAGCGGTTCTCAACCTGTGGGTCGCGACCCCATTTGGGGTCGAACGACCATTTCACGGGGGTCGCCAAACAACGCAGTCCGCCATTTTTTCCCCTTTTCCTTAGCTGTGCTACTCCCTTTTATTCTATTGGCTTTTGAAAGCCAATAGAATAAACTCTCTTGAATAGAGTCTAATTCTATTGGCTTTCAAAAGCCAATAGGAATTGTCCAGGCTGTCTCTGCCCTGCTGAGCCCGCCAAAAGTCCCATTCTGCAAACGATGCTGCAAGTTGTCTGCAGCGAAGGCAAGCTGTCTGGAAGTTTCCACCCCTCCCTGCTGAGCAACTACTAAAAATGTAAGTAAAAGAGGACCAGGGGTGGGAGGTGGGAGGCCGGTGGGTGCAGGGAGGGTTGCTGGTGCGCGTGGGGCCCGGTGGGTGCCTCCCTTGGGCTGGGCCAGCTGGTGGCCCAGCCGGTGGTCGCCCTACACCGTTGCTGCCCCTTGCCAGCTACACCTCGGCCGGCGCAGGGGGCAGCACCATGCATGTGTGGCGCTCCTGGGCAGGGAAAGTCCTCAACTTACGACCGGTTGAGTAATCCTTGACTTAACGACCGCTTGGGGGTCGCGGCATTAAAAAGGTTGAGAACCACTGGATTAGACCTTTTTAAAAAAACTTGGCAACATTAAGATGTATGGACTTTAATTTGCAGAATTCTTTACCCAGCATACTGGCTATAGAATTCTGGGAATTGAAGTCCACATATGTTAATATTGTTAGTTTGAAGCACATTGGCTTAGACCAGTGATAGCGAACCTATGACATGCATGTCAAAGAAAATATGCCATGGCATTTTGGGTGACACATGACAACAAATATTCTTAAAAGCATGCCCGTTCTGAGATTTTGGAGGCTGCAGTGCCCACAGAAGAAAATTCTTCAAAACTCCTTCAAAAAGTAAGGCCTCATGCAACCTGGAGCAACGTCAGGTAGGCCTCAGGACCTGTCAACAGGAAGAGAGCACCGCCCGAGGAAGCAGTGAATGGCAGATCCAGGAGGGGCTGGGCCAGGGGGGCAATTGTGCCGGTCCCCACGTCCTCACGGTTTGTGCTTTTCAGGGGATGGGGCAAGGCAATCTTTTTGAGTGGCAGTAGTGGCAACTAGGGCTGAAGTTGAGGCCTGGGCCTCTACTTCAGGCCCACCCTCGGCATTGCCACTGAGTGCTGCTGCTGAGTGCTGCTGTTCAGGGTAGCCTAGCTCCCTACCTCGGGGAGGGGAAGAGTGAGAAAAATAGAGAATTGTTTCTCTTTTGTTTGGGGGGGGGGTATGGCACACCAGCAGAAACAAGTATTTTCTGAATTTTTGACACGCCAAACCCAGCTGCCTCCAGAAGCTGTGAATGCTCCAACACTGAAAGTTTTTAAGAAGAGACTGAACAGCCATTTGTCTGAAATGGTATAGGGTTTCTTGCCTGAGCAGGGAGTTGGACTAGATGACCTCCAAGGTCCCTTCCAACTATTATTAATGTTGTTGTTGCTGCTGTTGTTCACCATCACTGGTTAGACTGAAAGAGAATATAAAACTGCACAACTCAACTAATTAAAACATTAAAACAACAACAAAACCCCAGCACCAACCAGTTCTAACGATTGAAGCAAGAGCCACAGTATGTCACCCAGGAGGTGCTCTAAGCTTTTCATACCACTAATCTACTTTAGGTTTGAAACTGGAATTTATTGGCTTGAAAACCTGTACGTATTCATTCTGAATTGGATGCTAGTGTGACAGTGTCCATGGTGATGAGCAAGGAGGGTTCATTGTGTGGTAATCTAGTGGTTCATGACCCTCAGGAACTCGTAATTTTTGCTTAGATGAAAGCGCAATTCCAGTTTCAACCTTACCTGGATTATATTTCCCAGTGATCAACATAGTATCTCCTGGCTTGGTCTCCTAGCTGACAATGACTATGCGTTGTCTATGGAGCTGACTTTGGAAATTATTTTAAAGCTGCAACTAGTATAAAATGCAGTAGCCAGATCACTGCTAGGATAACCCCACCAGTGTAGAATAACACCTGAATTCTGAAGCTATTGCACTGGTTACAGTAAGTTCACGGTTGCAATTAATTATCTTTCAATCTTTTAGAACAGGGGTCCCCAACCCCCAGTCTGTGGACTGGTACCGGGCTGTGGCATGCCAGCAACTGGCCCACACAAACAAGCAAAGCCCTATCCATTGGATGCAGGCA